TTGTATTATATGCTTATGTCTCGCCGAAGGCCTGTCCTCCTTTATCGCATTTGTATGAGCTGATGCTTTAATACGTCTATTCGGCTCTTAATTTGCTCAGATTTAACCAAATAATCGGACGTTTATTTGTGTGTGTGCCAACATGAACACATTCGGTTCACTGTAGCGGTAAACGGGCACTCAGACCTGCGCAAAAGCTTGCATTCTATGACGCATTAGATGAGGCAAATGATTGTTGCATTGGTAGATATAATTTATCGGCCTTGGGTCCTGTTATTGGTACTTTGGTTGTATGTCATACATTTTCGGGCTTGGTTGTCCCAGGCATTTCATCAGTTAGTCGGTTTTAAGATACGCAACATCGGGATTTTTGTCCCTTTTCTCCCCACAGATGGCAACAAAACATGATGGACTTTTCAGAGTTTTCGAGGAACCTCCGGCTGACATACCCGTCGAAGCAGTTAATGCTATTGACGATTTATATGCCCTCTGTGACGACCCAATGACTGTTCCAGTCAAATTAGTTGATAGCGACCTAAAATTTTCTGAAATACTTGGGCTGCGTGACTATTTCATTGAAAATTCTGGTTTTATGGTCATTGGTGTGATTGGGACACAGGTAATTGTCCCTCCTCTAGCTTACTGTGTCTACTAAGGGATCGGGAAAGTCTTCCATTCTCAACTTAATGGCCAACCGTCTTGACCAGCCTGCCGGTCCCCTGGATGGCCCCTTTCCTGTCGAAACAGTTCAGTCCCTAGTGAACAATACTCCAGCCACGACTGGAATCGATATGTATATAACCCAAGACAGAGTGATTCTGTTGGACACACAGGTTTGCTTCACTACTTATGAATGAATTTGACATTTTAGCCACTATTATCATGGGCTGTTACGGATATCTACACACAGACGGCTAACGAAAACTGTGGTGGCAAACTAGAAGAAGTAACTCGGAGCGATCGGTCGGTGACCGTGTGTACAGGTCCAGGAAAATGGTCTTCCGATTTCTTCTCAGAAATGTCTGCCATCCAAGTTAGCAAATACTGCAGGCTTTTTGCTTAAAATTTTATTTGAAAACCTATTTGTGCCTAATTCTGAATTTATTGGTTCTTGGATCTTAA